TAGTTTGAAAATACCTAAAAAAGTACTCCAGCATAAATATGAGAATTGAATTAAAAGAAAGCAAGTAATTTCTTCTGCTCTTAATTGCAGTTTCTCACCAAAGTATGGATTCTTAATTCAGTTTTCAGAAGTTATGAAATTGAGCAAAACGTAATGAAAATAAAAAGGTGGTAATAAACTGTTTATTACAAATATTAAAGAGCATGATTATTGGGCAAGGGACCTAAAATTGGCAAGGGACTGCTGTATAATGAATCTGCATGTTTTGGGGACTTAATATTTTAAACCTAAAAGTGACATAACTTATTTTCTTTGAACTTTTCATAATTAAGTAAAAAATATAAAATTGCAAAGAAAAATTAAAAAATAATAATAAAACTGCAATACTGAAATTCTCTATTCTAAAGAAAAGTTCATATATGCTTGAAATAAATAAAAAGTTTGCTTTAATTTATGGAAAAAGCAACTACTGCTTACAGCAAGTAGTCTATTATACTACAATAAACATCATTTTTTCTCTATGACAAAAATCACATACACAATGTGCACAACACATAACAAATTACTGCAATAGAAAAATACTACTGAATACATTCTTTAGTACTTTTCAATAAATATTCATACATTCTACAATACAATGCACAACATTTTCTGATACAACATCAAGTTATGGAACACTTTTGAGTATGAAAACTCTTTGAAATTCAACAGTTTTCAATATATTATGTACAATAAAAGTAAAATGCAACATTTATCACCAATACAGTAAAAACATCTTGAAATTCAATGTGTTTCATCAGAACATTAACAGACAACATTCAAGCAAAAATTCATTATTTCAACTTGAGAAATACAAAGAATCCAATTTGTGATATACAGAATGCACTGATCTTTATGAAATTAATATTTTATACTCTTATATCTAAAATTATGTAGATTTATAATGAACATTTCATCAATCATATTTAGAAAATTAATAAAAACAAATATACTGAAAAATAACAATACTTAATATAAGCATTGTTTACATTTTACATAAAATATTACCTTAAATATAAATACATTCCCAAAATCTAAAATAAATTCTTTTGGGCCTCATACATTATATAATAAGGCCACACATTTCTGAGAATATGAAAATACCAAATGACTTCAAAAATACAAAACTATCCAGAACATTAACATAAAACAGAAGCAGCACTGAATATAAATATATTATACATCATATGAAGTAGCCTACTGCTACCTAGCCACTATACAGCAAAAAGTCCATAGTTTCTAATCACTTTAGTTGTATCATAAACAAAAATATCTGGAAAACTAATCATGTAAACATCATATTCATATCATTTAGATTGCATAAATAAAACCACCAAATCAAGATTATGAATTACTGTTTACAGCTAAATTTTTTCTTAGAAGAAAGGTAAGGGTTAACTGATTTTAAAAGAAACTTCCAAATCAAGATTATAAATCTTACAAATATGTATATAAAAATGATATTCTCTTCACAGTTTTGTAAAGGGTGAAAGACATTTTTTAATTTATAACATAGAATCATTTTTCTAATTAAAATTCAAAAAGTAAAATTATTATAACGAAATGTTAATAAATGAAAGCATAATGAAAAACTAGCTAACATAATAAAAAGTTAATACATATTGTCAACTTTCTTAAATTTCTGCTATCAGATTCCTGTCCCAAAAGAAGAAAATCTGATGTGTACACCACATGACTTCCTTGTACAGAATATTAAATTATACACATTTTTTTCCTGCATTTCATTTAAATTTATTTCCTCGAATTTCATTAGAGATATATTTCTCATTAAATTAATTCAGTTCTCACTTTGCAATAAAGCAAAAATACATAAAAACTCAAAATATCTATATTAAAAACTGAAAGATACAGAAAAATATTTACAATAAAAGTTACAGTTTCTACGTAAAAACAAGGAATTCGGCCAGTGGGTAAGAAGGCAGATTTTTTAGTGCACAAAACTGAAAGTTTACTTTTAGTCTCACTCAGCAAAAAGACACTGAAGATGTAGAAACTGACATAATTTGTCATGGACGCTATGCTGAGTCAATATATGTGATTATTTAATAACTTAAATGATAATTCCAGACTGGATTAAGCATAACTTAATTTACAATTATAAAAGATGTTACTTTATTATTCCGAAGCTTAGTTTCTCTAGATTGGCAACAAATCCACTATTCTGCTAAATTTCAAATGTAAGAGGACAGTGGATGATGATTTTAGCTTGACCAAAAATTGGGAAATAAAAATTTCATATGATAATATTCTACGATTTTTAACTCTATCGTTTACAAGAACCATTTGTTGGTAAAATTATTTTCAAAGAAGTTATAAGCATTTGAATAAGCTTGTTTACCTTTTGTGTGACATTTAAAAGTGGTAAACAAACATTTGAGAAACGTTATTTTAATTTCCGTGACTAATACTTTTATTATTAGTAAGATATAAATGTGTAAGACTTGAAAACTGCAATTTATGCAAGTTTGTTTTATTGTTCTTTCACAGATGACTCACTCAGACATTATTAATGCTCAATACGTGTCACATAATATATATATTAAGACACCTAAATCTCAATTAATTAAATTAAAATAAAATAAGACACCTAAATCTCATTCAATGATGAAAACCAAATTAACAGTAGATATTTTATCTAAAATACTACCAATGTATCAAGGACTAGCCAGTAACCAACTTTAAGCATGATGCATATGTGCAAAAATACAAAATACTAACGAAAGTTTACATGGTGCCATTTGGAAGAACTGTCTGAAGGAAACATTTGTATTGAAAACAGATTTGAAATAGCTGTTATCACAGCAATTAGTGACTTCAACTTTTAGTGCTTAAATACTTTAGGTTTGGAACAAGAGGATATAAATTCATGTTCAATATCTATTGGACAGAGGCAAGGTAAACATTGTATAGACCAAAGCAAAAAAAGGTGTTCTACCGAATACAAGAAAAGAAAATTACCAAAAAAAACTGTAGCTAAACATAATGAAAATGTAAATAAGAAAGGGGAAACATATGGTGCAGTAAGTTTTTAAAGTGATTCTTAGTTTAAAAAAGTATTTAGTTGAATTTACTGAAAGTGTTTGAGAAAATTTCCAAAATAATATTTTCTTACCATTCTATGATTTTATAAGTAGAAAAATTATTTATGCATATGTAAAACAATGTTAAAATATTTTATATTAAATCAAATCATATATTAGGACATACTGAGAAGTAAATATTAAAGGCAAGCGTAAAAATATTCTTAAAATGCATTTTTCTCATAATGAAATTTTTGTGATTATTACATCTTCAAAATGTTCCGTGCACTTTAGTTTTATGTTCAAAATGGTTGTAATTTGTAATTTAGATTCCCATTTATACATGTAACAAAATTTAGTATGCATTTTTGAATGCAAATTCATTGAGAGGATAAAAGTCCAATTAAACTGCGAAATTTTTGTCCAAAATTTAGGTATATGTGAAAGAAATATTAATTAAAAACTAACATTTTATGCAATTCACGAATTGATACCAAATTTTATTTGTAATACACTTTCAATAAAAAAAGCAAAAATAACAAGATATAGGAAAAAATGAAGTCACATGGAGCATTTTGAAAAAGTTTTAAAATTTAAACAGAAATTTAAAAAAAAATAAATAGCAACGAGCCAGAAATTTTTTTCAAAGGTATCTGATATAACTATAGTAAAATATACATGCATGCAAAGTTTCATGTCTCTATGATAATAATTTTAAAAAAAGTATTTGAATGTTCACTGTCCCTGTAAACAAATATGGCTGCTATAAATAAAGAAAAAATTAGGCTCAGCTGCACTTAAACAACTTTTAAATTGTTGATAACTCTACAATTATAACATGCAGGTTAAATAAAGGCATAAATCCTTAACTTGGAGATAAGAACAACATAATTCAATCATTTTTAAAGCAAAAAATGCACAATTTACAAACATAAGAATAAAGAAAGAGAGCTCACTGAGCCGAGTAACAAAGTGGATATATATATATATACTTTTGGTGCAGCCGATTGCAATCAAAAAGAGAGGTGCACATCTACATGTTATAGCAGTCCCAGATACAAAATTTCAACCTTCTGAGGCTGTTGTTTTTGAGTTATGCGAAATATATACGTATTCCATAGATGTCACACAAAAACATCATTAAACTGCATTTGACAGCGGTCAAAATGGATATTTTCGTTGAAATATGGTAACCAGAATTTTTCGTGATTTCAATACTTCCTTTACTTTATACAAGGAAGTAAAAAAAAAATAATGAAAACATCAATTGAAATTCATATCAAGCATTTTATCAAAAGGTAAGAAAACAAATGACAAGCATTGAAAGCGATAAAAAATTAAAACCATTTGAAAAATGTTCTTATTTTTTAATTGCATTCTCAAATGTTTGATTTCAAGGTGTAGTTATAAAAATTCAAAATTTCCAAAAATAGCCCTGCTCCATAAAGATACATATATGTGACACAGATTTCTTTCTCTTCAAGCCAGAAAGATTTTAAGCATCTGTGTTTGAAAACTGTATTAGGGGAAAAAAATACATTGGTACTAAACAAAAATTTTACTAATTAGTTGACAATTTCCTTTGATTTGTGTGATTATAAATTTTAAAATATAATAATCATTGTAATAAGCAATATAATAAAAAATTAATATAATTGATTAATGAAATAACTACATAATTTAACAATAAATATAATGTTTCTCATTTTTCCAATTCGGACAGTTAAGTAGCCATCCAAGATTTAAAGACATGCAGATTGAAAACATGAATAAAAATTTTAGCTCATATTTATTTTTACAAACATATAACAATCAATAATTAATTAATCACTAATATGACAATTCTAAATTAAATTAATATATTATATTTTTATATTATTATATATTTTTCTCTGCATTATTTAATGATTTTTAGAGACTAATAAACAACAACAGAAAATAATATTTAATTAACATGAAAACTTTAAATAAAATATCTAAAAAAATAATAATGAAAAAATAGTTCCTTCAGAACTAGAAAAGAGTATTAAATTTGCTCTTTCACAATAGTTAGAACTTTGCTGTACAAATTAATGAAAACACAGGGAAGATGAAGGCAAAAATGCTTACTTCGATACACTTTATTTTTTCTCATTACTAATATATTATTTGACAGCCTGCGTCCTAAAGTATCTAAACATTATAATTATTTCTTTCTAAAGACTGCTACAGTATTTCAGATGTTTTTTAATGCAAGAAATAATACTGCAATTTTTTTAATTTCCTTTCAAATTTGAGAAGCAGTACCAAATTTTCAGAGCAAAAAGAGATAAAAATAAGTTTTGTAAAAGAATTTGGAATATATTTTAAGTAAATGTAATAATTATTTGAAAAATTATATTTAAAAAAAAAAGAACAATATTGCAAACATTATGCAAAACTTAAAATTTTTTAAGACTTTAAATAACAATTAAATATTTAAGTCTTTTCCTCTTTATCTATGCAACCGAATTATTAACTTTCCTCTTTATATATGCAGAAATATATGTAACCAAATTCTGAAATTTCATATTTTTATTTTTCTATTTATATTTTAATGAATGAAGAGATAAAACAAATCAATTTGCAATGGCACATTAAGCCACTATATCTAATATCATTTGGCAGTTATTTAAAAAAAATCTTAAAAAACAGGAATCAATACACACATTTAGCACTGGCTATGGCAGTACAAAGTATACATAAATTAATAAAAAAAATTAACTTGATAATTAAAATAAAGCTTTAGCATTATTCAGATTCAGAATCATTATCATTAAAGCCTGAAAGATCAACATTTTGCAGAAGTCTACGACTTAATGCATATTCCAACAGCGCTAAATGACAGAAAACATACTGGTCAGGCATCTGTATACTATGAGCTCGTTGAGAACGAATTTTTTCTACTGTTGTGCGCACATCTATAAGGCCTGTCGCTTCCAGACGACAAATGCAAATGTCTAATGTAATGAAGGTCCCTGAAATACAAATAATAAACATAGATCTTAAATCAGGTATTGTATTTAAATGAAATTTAAGCTAAAATATAAATATACATGAACCATATAAAAATACTGTCCATAACTAAAATAGAAAACAAAAAAATTGTAAAGTTTTAATCTCAGCAGAAAAATGATAGATAACTAGCTGATGAAAATGATTTTATTTTAATAGATCACCACTTTATAAAACAGAAAAACATATCAGCCAGTATCAGTCAAAAACTTTTAACTGAACTAAACTTCTACAAAAGTTAATTATATTATACAGCATTACTTTCCAGAGTAATTTCCACCATTATCTAAACATTTATTAAATGTGGGATCAAGCTTTGTACTTCCCCACCGTAAAAGTCTTCTGTTATTTGGCCTTTAGAACCATGTCATGCCTTCACATTTTACCTCGCTGTCATTATTGACCTTAGCACAGCAATATATTTCTTTAGGTGAAGAAATAAAACGAAAATTACTAAATTTTAATTATATGATGGGTGATTCAAAACCCACTAATTCAGTTTTTCCAGAACCGAAATTGTGATACATGTAATATGGGTACGAGTATCGTAGTGGAGCAGGCAGATAACGTGTCTCAACTTTCCTCTCAATTTGCATGGCTTAGAGTTATTATGAGGTTTTAGAATATACATTAGCATTAATTTTTGCTTCAGGCATGAACTCAATGATGAGAATTCAGAAAGCCAATAAGGTTTTCTGACTTTACAGGCTGAAACTGAAGTTTTCAATTTATGGAGTTTGTGAAGTGCATACAGTAGTGGTCTTAAACTGGCAGCCAGCGACACCTCCCCAAAAAAAGCAGTTTTCATAGTCTGTGAATACGAATACATTTCACATAAATTAATTAGCATTATCATGACAAGAATTTGAAAAAACGATTCATGCTTTTAATGAACTGAGACTAACTTTACATTATTTTCAAAAGCAATAGTAACACAACAGAAATTCTCCAAACAGAGCTGTACAAACAGAACTGTACAAATCTTATTCAAAGATACAGATTTGATTATCTTTTTTTGTATTTGTCTGAAGATACATACCTCAGTTATGAATTTTAACACTAAGAGTAATGAATTTGTTTAGAAGTACATTTACATGTGAACGATATTTTTTCACAGTTAAAAACTAATAAGTCTACAGAAAAGAACCATACTGATTGATAAGCACGGACAATTTGTAATGAAGAAAGTTTCTAGTAATTTTTCTTCAAAGTTACAAACTTTAGCAAAATCGAAATGCCATGAGGTATTGTAGGTGAAAGCAGTGGTAAAAAATATACGATGTGGACACCACGATTTACTTCTACAGCCTATTAAATTACACATACTTTTTGATGCACTTCATTTAAACTAAATATTTTAATAAGAATAAATCAAAATGCAGTACTCATTATTAAACAAAATAATAAATTGATAGACCTTCCAAATTATTCTGATCAAGTATTTTTTGAAGCATAAATAGCTTAGAACACTTTTTTTTTTTTTTTTTTAAATCTTCTTGAAGTCCATGCAGTGTCAAAATTAATTTTGGTGATTAACATACCCTTCAGAATGTCCACTTTAAGATAAGTCTTATCTTTTATCACTAGTCCAAAAAGTGTTCATAATGCTAAATACTCGCTCAATTGCAGCATTAATGCCAAGAAGAGAAGAGAAAAATTCTGGCAATTCTAAAACATTTGAACAAAAAATTTGGTTCTTATTAAAATATGCAGTTATTTCCATCAAGCTCTGAACTGGGCATATCTTATTTTTTGACCATTCCAATATTTTTTCTTCCATAATATATTGTTTAAGGTAAACATATTTCTCATATATATAGATTTCCAACAATTTATGATTTGGTATTAATTTATTAATTAACAAAAAGCCTGTTTCAACTTGACTCCAAATAAGGATTTCATTTAATATGATGTTTGTGAACCTGTAAATGTAGACTCAAATGCCACTTGAAGCAGCTTAGACATACATTCCACAGATCTCTAAAACTATGGTTTTGGCAGTATGGTATGCAAAAGTACCTTCTATTGCAGCTAATTCTTCTTCCTTATCACCTATTCCCTCCTGTTTGAAGAAATTCTTGATGAGGTAGATGCAGCAGCAGAGTTTGACATTTTATTTATAACTATTTATATGAACTTTAATATCTGTACCGACCATGGCTCATAGAAAATTTTGAAGAACATATTCACAGTAATACACATTGCAATCGCTTACAATTTTTTAAATAAACAGGTATTCCTTTTGTAGGTCTTTGTTAAGTGTACACTTCCCCCCCCTTTTTTTTTGGAACCCATTACTGAAAATGTCAACAATAAAAATAAATACTAAATTAAATTAAATGGCAGTAAAACATTACATGCATAAATATTTATCAATAAATAAAAATATATGTCGTTGCCAAACGGGAAACATTATTGAACGTAATGGTTTTGACAGATTTTTAAACATTTTTTTAACCCTTATGCATAATCAAAATAATGATGAAGTAAAAATTTTACTATCTAAACGTGACAAAAGAAAGATGGCTTTAGATGGTTATATCTACAATGAAATTTCAGCAAATGGCAAATGAATTATTTTTAGATGCACTGTAATAATGTATGTAAAGCAAACATTGATCATTAAAAATTTATATATATTATAAATTCAAATCACAATCAAATTACTATATTAATTCAAAATTGTAGTGCTGTCTGTAATTGCAAGTCTGAACCATAATTGCAAGCTGTTAGCAAAACTTCTGAGTAGGTTAAGGGGTTGGGGAGAGAAATACAGAAATGAGAAATAGAACTCTTACACTACAATATTTCTAAAGTAAACGCTAGATGGGGAATACCCTGTATGTGCGGCTGGTATGGCGCGCATCTCTTAACTTCCGCTTATATTCTTAATTTGCCATCTACACAATTTAAATAAATATATGTATTTAAACTTCTAAGTTCTCATGCTACTGTTTTTTTTTGAGACAATTTGGGACATATATTATAAATTCGGGACCAAAAAACGAGTTGTAAAAATTAAGGACAGGGACAAAAAATAAAGGACTGTCCCGGGAAATTCAGGACATATGGTCACTTTATTCAAACTTATTTCTTCAAATTTCATTACAGATGTATTTCTCATCAATTAATTCAATTCTCACTTCGTGGCAAGGCAAAAGTACATAAAAACTCAAAATCTGTTAAAAATTGTAAAATAGAGAAAAACCTAAAACACCAAATACAGGTAAAAACCAACTTTAACAACTAAGAGTTTCTATGCAAAAACATGCAATTCGGCCAGGGGAAAATAAGACAAAATTTGCACTGCACAAAATTGAAAGTCCCACTCAGCAAAAAGACACTGAAGTTGGTGCCCCAACTTACTTGAGCCGATATAAATAACGCGACATCCAAGTTTCTAATGCAAACAAATGGCAACCTCATTAAGCTTAAAGCCACTTAAAAGTTGATAATTCTACAACTATTGCATGCAGATTAACTACACGCATAAAAGCCTTAACTGGAACAGAACAACAACATAATTCAATCACAAGATAAAATGCACAATGTACCAATATATAAGAATAAAAAAACTAAGCTCATCAAGCCGGGTAATCGAATGGATCTCTCTCTCTCTCTCTCTATATATATATATATACTTTTGGTGCACTGATTTCAACCAAAAAGAGAGGTGCACAGCTACATGTTATTAATAGTCCCCTATACAAAATTGCAATGTTCGGAAGCTACTTGTTTTTGAGGTATGAGAGATACATACGTACCTACAAAAATAAAAAAAAAAAAAAAAAAAAAAAAAAACCCACGTCTGAATATTTAAAAAATTTTTTAGAAAAAATAGTCTTTTATTCTGTCCATGCATTTAGATGTCACACAAAAAAGGGATCTAAATGCATTCGAGAGCAGTCAAAATGCATATTTTTGTTGAAATTTGATACCTGAAATTTTTCATGATTACAATATTTTCTTTACTTCGAACAAGGAAGTAAAAAAAAAAAATTATAATTTTTTACATACAAATATATGCATCAAAGAAAAATTTGATAAATTAAAGAAAGAGAATAATTTGTCAAATTTTGTCCCACCTTGAAAGTTTTTCATAATTTGCTTAAGTAAGTCATTAGTGGTTTTTTTAACATATTAGAATTATTTAAAATAAATATCATTCTGCAAAAATTAATATTTAGCTGGCAATATGTTTAAATTAAAACTTTGATCATCAAAAATTTCTTGCAGAAATCTTCAGATTTCAGAAAGAAAAATAAGTATAAATTGGAATTTTTTCCTTTTACATCATTATTACTACTGTTTAAAATGAAACTAGATTTTAGATTTGATTTTTTTTTTTTTTTTTTTTTTTTTTTTTTTTTTTTGTTTTTGTTAAAAAAGTTGGCCCATCAACTGATCTCAAATTGTGTATTTTGGCACACAACTTGCGACTTATCATTTTCATTTTGTGCTCTTTTACTAACATTTTGAAACTCGTTAATATGTAATTTTTGTACCATAATTCTTCAGTTATGGCTTTATGACCTAAGATAAGACTTTTTGTGAGTCCCTTATAGTCATACACTGATTAGCATTAGTTTCTTTGGTTACCTAAAAAAGGCTGTCCGAAATTACAGATTTCTGATTTCTCCTTTGTTCATCATGAACATATCCCATCTGTTAAGAATTCATGGTATTACTCAGTTACATTCTGCAGATTCATAATATCAACACAAATAGTGTACATTTATTTATCACAGCTGCCAGCCTTGAAATATGAAAAACTGGAAGGTTCTCAAGTTACAAACCAATGTAATTTCATGAGTTCTACTAGACCTACATTCACTTTATAATACAAGGATTCAGACCATTAAATTATTCATAATGTTATTTCTGCTGTTAAATATAGCTAAAGTTAATTAGACAGCCAAAAATTTTTTTGGAGAGGCTAATTTTATTTTTAACTTTTATACTAACAAAATCCTAAGGAAGGAAGGAACATTTTTATTCAAGTACTTTTAAATGTGATGAAAATAATAATTAATTTATGATTTATTGATGTAAAATAAAATTAAATATATATATTAAGTGATTAAATATTGGTTGAATGTACATAAAAAGTTCTATAAATGTTTATAGAAGATTAAACAATGAAAAACTAGGAAAAATTATGCTAAAAAACACAACATAAATTAGCTGCTTGCATGAAGTTTATGTTAAAAATGAACAATCCATGAAATAACAAATTATGAGCATGAAGTAGAAAGTCAGCAAAATGAGGCATACGAATATGAACTCTTGGATAAAAATTCTGTTCAGTTTCATTTCTAGACACAGACCTTAAACTGACTTTATATACTTTATATATGCAGATTTATATTTAAGAAATATAATTTAGATTACAGAAATTATTACTAAATACTGTATACATTTATATAAAAATATTTCATAGCATTTTAAGTTTCATTAAGATATGATCAGATTGCTTTCATATTTTTATCTAAGAATATGTCAGTATAATTTTCTTCACAGTATTTTTGATATCTTTGAGCTGTAGCAATTAACAGTTTTTGCAAAACTTCATTTGAAAGATATCATCTAAATTATGTCCTTATTTTCCTCACTTAATTCAACAATCTATTTACATTCAGCAACACTGTTAGGAAAAGTCAAAACTGATAGAGTAGCACACGGAAGGCCATCAGTATTTTAATTTACCATGGCTATTTTAGAGTTTTGAAACCAGAAGTCTGTTCAGTGAGTTTTGAAACCAGAAGTCTGTTCAGTGAGTTTTGAAACCCACAGCTTATTGACACATTTTTCTAGCAAAATTTCATAAGAGAGATCTTCAACCTGGAACTTAAAAATTCTACTTAAAGTTTATCAATGGCACTATAGATCCATTTTTAACTTTATATAAAAGCTGCAGTTTCATCGGCAAAAGGATGAAGCCACATAAGTAGCAACAAAATAAGAAGCTAAAAATTAAGAACTGGGAGAGTTGGCAGCTGTAATACATAAAATTTTGCAAGGTGCTCAATTCTTGCAATTAGAAAGCATGCATCTGCAACTTACATTCTGGCAGAATTCTCCACAACATCAGCTACTTAACATTTAATCATTTGAATAAGTATAGGAGCAACAATTAGAAAAAATGCAACACAAAAGAGAATAACAGATTCAAGATCGGTAAGCATAGCCAATCTACACCTGACTATACCCTCATAGGAAAGAAACTTTTGGTATGTATAAACAGAAAGAACAACAGATAATAATAATCAATACCGAATTATGGAAAACTCAAATACATTTTAATACTGGTATGAAAAAGCCACTTTTTATTATTAAAAGAAAATGTGTTTTCTGTCTTAATGAAAAACTGATAGATATTAGAAATACACATGCAATAATACGGAAATTATCTCATTCTAGAAAACTAATTGACAAGTACTAAATATTTATTAATATACTGAAACTTTAAAAAATTTTTTCAATGTTATTGAAGGTTTTTTTCGGTTAAGAGATAATCAATTAAAAATGAGAATAATATATATACCGGTACGTCCAATTCCAGCACTACAATGCACAACAATCGGAGGGCCAAGAGGATGACCAGACCAGCTCTCACCCAACCAAGTTACGTGTGCAGCTTGTTTATCACGCACCTTGTCACGAAAGCCAAGCATGGCTAATGCTGAACCGGGAACACCATAATCTGGCCAACTTGTAAACTGCATATGATATACAGTACGAGTTTCATTTGACTGCAAGAAACAAAAATATTTATATGTACTTAATTTTGCAATAAACACTTACTAATAACT